CCTGCTCAGAAATGCAAAAACCTTATAGTTAGCATGACCCAGCATCCGTAAAGGTGGTATAGTTCTATTGTCACCCTAGTGTGTCCCTTGGGGTCTTGTCCCTCACCCCTTTATGGTTTCTAAAAATATCCCTCTTAACCACATAGAATGCTTCCTTAAGCTGAGTTCTGATAAACACACTCTTCTCCCTCTTGATACATCAACATCCAAATAATTAAAATTCCCCGATTTAACCCAATACCCTCATGAACCAGTCCACCCCCTGCCAGAAGAGTTAACAGGGACTGACAGAACGTGAGTGTCATCCACTTGGCCTTGACCATCCATTAAATGACCAGAAGACAAATAAGAAAGTGAGGAAGCAGAGGATGAATGATCTGGACGACAAACATATGAGCTCTGAATGCGCTGAGCCGGGGTGGAGTGTCCATGGCCTGACACATTGCCTTCTGCTAAGTCTCAGGTTCCCCACCCTGGAGCACTGCTGCACTGGTGGGGAGGTCCTGCTGTGCAAGGAGTTTGAGCACTGGAAAAAACAGACAGGCCCTCTGCTCCATGCAGCCTATGGACAGTCAGAAATGGTAAGCAGACAGGTCCCTTCTGGGCCAGTCAGATGTGCTCAGCCACTGAGTTCAACAGATAAACTGAATCATGCCACACATGTGTGCCAAGTCCCCACTGTGTGCACAGCATTGTCTCGAAGCTCCAGACTTCTAGGCTAATTTGCCCCAAACTGATTTGTACAAAGGTAATTCACAGCTTAACAACTCATCGAGAGACGAATGTGCTCAACACTGTTGGACAAAAACTTTAAAAAAGGTCTAAGAACATTTTGTCACTGTCCCTGTGATCATTAGCTCAGAGGAGCCCAGGAGAGGTGGTGGGATAGGAGGCTTTTTCTGCAACATGGACGCCACCACCAGCAAGTGTTGCCATCCTTGTTGTCCTTGCCTAGGGCGGCAACACACAAAGGCAGGTAGGAGCTGGCTCCAAAAGTTTATTTCTGGGTGTTTAAGAGGACAGCACTCAGGTTTGATTATGGATACTAGCAGGGTGGATGAGAAGGCAGAGACTTTCTGTATACATCAAACATATATACACATACCACAGAGTTACCCCAGAGTGTCACTGAGCTGCCAGGTGGGCAGGGCATTTAGAGTAGCATGCATGTCTCAAACCTAAGGGACTTCATCAGTGATAGTGGGGGTGGGTATCACTCATCTAACATATTTTAAATTCATTTCCAATGCTGGAGAGTCCTGCTTTCGCCCACCTCCGTGTTATTCCTGGAGCTAACAGAGGCATGACTGCCATCTTGGGCCCTGTAACAAAATGACTTTTTCTTTCCAATTGATATACTTGTCTCTCTCTTTTTTTTTTTTTTTTGCAAACAATTTGCAACAATACACGGTGCTTTATTTCTCAAAGTACTTTCATACCTACTCACTCATCTGTGCAACATTTTTCATGTACTTAGCCAGTGTTCAGCCCATAGTATCTGTTCACTCTGCAGTTACTGTGGTCATCATTGTTTTTAGGGAGGTATTGTGCCAGATGCTGGGACCTCAGAGGTGAACAGGACGATCTCTATTCTTGGGATGCTTGTTATCTACCAAGGAAAACGGACAAGCAAAAATAATTATAATACCTTGTGGGCTACAATAGAAGTAGGGGGAAATATTACAGAAGGGGAATCTTCCAACTGACTTTTCTTGGGGCTTAGCTAAGTGACAGCTGGTAGTTGTCATTCATTGAACACTTGGTGTGTGCCTTGCGCTGTGCACTCACTCACAAGCACTCTGAGAGGTGTTATAATTATGTCCTTGTAATGAAGGAGGAGATCAAGAGAAACTGATTGGTACAGTTAGTGTGTGTTGGGGTCAAGGTTCAAACCTGGGTCTGTAAAACACTCAGCTGTAGAAAGAATGATATCTGGGAGAACCATAAAGGAGGAATAAAGTTCATCTGGAAGACAAATGACGTTGGAGCAGCGCTAGCAGAGAGAACAACACAAACAATCTGAACCATCCCAGCATACCCTGAGATAGAGTTGAGACAGATTCCTATCACTGTTCAAGGGCCCCAAGTATTTGTTAAGTAGACTCACGGCCTTCCCCTAGTGAACTGGCATATGCTTGGCATACAGTGGATACTGCATACCCTACATTGTATGCCCACTCCTCAGGAGTTACTCCTTTTCCTCATTCTCTGTCACCCCACTGGACTCTGTAGACCCCACATCTAGCTCTTGCCCAGCCCATGTTGAGTGCAGCAAAGTCTGCTGAGTAGAGTTGGGTCAACACCTTGAGCCTGGGATCCAGGCCTTCCAGCTTCCCCACAAGGGCTCTTTGTGCAGCATCAAATGACATCCATGAGCAGGGGAGGCTGTGTGTGACTCTTGCTGCTGTCAGCTGAGCCTGAACTCCATGGCCAACCCCAATCCCCCTCTTTTGTGAAAAGGAAATATGCTGCGGTGTCCTCCGGGGAATCAAGATCAAGCAGGCCACCGCATCCTTTGACATGCAGGGAGCAGTTAGGGATTGAATCATTGTGTGACACCAGATGGCAGAACCAGCCACCATTCCCTGACTAGTCGTTATTCCTCCTCCCTATTTTTTCTCTGATTTCCTATGCAGGTTTCAGTTGAGAACTGCATTTTCATGGACACTAAGCAGATCACCACGGCAACCAGAGGCATCACACACAATGAATGGGAAAGAACATCTGGAGGTAGAACTGGTAGTTCTTGTTTTTCTTGATCAATGTTTTCTAGTTTGCAGATACATTGGTGAGGTCTACATACCCATAAAACAAACAGACCCTTGACTTGAGTTTCATATTTGCTGATTTCAAAGACTTAACAGTCTTAGTCTATTTTCTGACCCGGTTCCTGCATTACTATCTCCATTTATCCCCACTGGGGTCCTGTGAATGAGCCACACAATGCTAGCATGGAACAGAACGTCTGGGGAATCTTGTGGGGTGGGATTCATAGGCCTCTTTTTCTAGATCATTGACAATGAGGGCAACATCCTACTGCCCAACACTGGAGGAAACATTGGCATCAGGATCAAGCCCACCAGGCCTATAGGACCCTTCATGTGCTGAGATAATGGCACCCCATCTGCCGCAGTCCTGGCCCTAAGAATCCCTGAAGGGAGCTCTGCATTCTGACACTTCTCCTGATCTTCCTTTATTTGATTCAACTCAGTGAAGCCTGTTTTAACTAAACTCAAAACTCACAGGTTTTTCCCAGATCCCTTCTTGTCCTAAACTATCTAGGACTAATGGGCTAACCGATGGGGTAGAAAGAAGACTTACTTCTGAACCATCAGACTTGGGTTCTAATGATCTCGTGTAGTTAAGAATACAGGCCTTGAATGGGTTTAAATAACACCGTTCCACTTACCAGCAACAGGGTGTGAACTAGTCACTTATTCTCATTGAGCCCGCATGGAGCTCTATTATTTCTACTTTACACAGGGAAAAACTGCAGATCGGAGTTGTTATGTGTCTTCTCCATGTCAACCAGGATCCAACCCATATCTTTTGGACCCTGAACCCTAAGTGAGAAATCCAGGAATTACATAAAATTGGGATGGGCTGTCAGGTAACTTGCTGTAACTCTTGGTCAAACAAATTCTAGGCCTCGCAGATTAATAGTGACCACAAAGAGGACATTCCAAGATTGGCTTCCAAGATTGGCCATGGAAGAGCAACCAGATCCTGAAATCAATCTCAGACTCCATCTCCTTTTTCCAAAGACACTGTCAGTGGAAGTTTTCATGGTGTCACTGCTGTCCTCACACTATGGTCCCCAGGAGGCACTGCTGCTCTTGTGATGCTATTGCCCGAAACCAAACATGCGGGCCTTAACCTTAATTCTCAGCAACACAACTTTAAGGTTGGATAAAAGGGAAATTATATTCTTTTGTATGTATATGCCATTTATGTGTGTGGTTCTCAAAGCTGCTTGCATGTTAGAATTATTTCAGGGGGGTTATAAAAATATTGATGCTTGGATCCGATTGCAGAGATTCTGGTTAAACTGAATGGGGTGTCCAAAGTAATGGCATTTGCGGAGGTGGGGGCAAGATGTATTTTATTTTCTAAAGATGTTCTCACCTATGCCCACACCTATATCCCTGATTCCAGATGCTCTCATTACAGTGAAATGTTGATACTCTGCCATTGAGACTTGTCTCTTTTTTATTTATTGAGGTAAACTGTAACATAAAATCTACTTTTTTCACTATTTTCGAGTGTACAATTCAGTGGCTTTAAGTAAATTCACAGTGTGGGGCAACCATCACCATTATCTATCTCCAGAAAATTTTTACCACTCTACACAGAAACTCTGTACCCGTTAAACAATAACATCCCACTCCTACTACCCCCAGCACCTGGCCACTCTACTTTTTGAGTCTACGAATTTGCCTGTTTTAGGCATCGCATATGAGTGAAATCATACAATATTTGCCCTTTCATGTCTGGCTATTTCACTTAACATATTGTTTTTAACGTTCATCCATGTTATTGCATGTAACGAAATGTCATTCCTTTTTAAGTCTGGATAATATTCCATTGTATGTATGTACCAAATATTCTGTATCTAGTCATGTCTTGATGGGCATTTAGCTTGTTCTCGCCTTGTGAATCTTGTGAATAATGTTGCCATGAACATTGGTGTTCAAGTTTCTGTTCACGTCACTTTTTCCACTGCTTTGGGTTATATACCTGGAAGTGGAACTGCTGGATTATATGGTTATTCTGTTTCATTTTTTGCAAAACTGCCTGTTTTCCAAAGTGGCTGCACCATTCCACATTCCCACCAGTAGGTTTCTGGTCCATTCTGAGTTAATTTTTATATGTGTTGTGACTTCACTCTTTTACAAGTGAACATGCAAGATTCTCAGCATCGTTTGTTGAAAAGACTATACTTTCCCCATGGAATGGTCTTAACACCTTTCTCAAAAATTAATTGACACTATAAGGGAGGGTTTCTTTCAAGGTTCTTTATTCTATTCCAGTGGCTTAGGGATGGAGTGGAGCCCACTTAACCAGACGGGAACCTTTATTCTGTGTCAGGAACTCAAAAGGACTCCATTGCTGGCATGTTAGCCTATAGAAGAAAATCAGACAAGTGTCCAAAGATACTCAAAAAGGTTATGTAAATATAAATATATAAATTCCTGCAAAATTTGAAAAAGAAATTCAAATTAGCAGCTTCCAAACTTTTTAAAAACATGATTCATAGTAAGAATCATGCAAGAACAAATACATTGTTTTGCAACCCAATACACATATACATACATATAACAAAGAAAAGTTAAGAGAATGATATTTATCCTTACACCTTATAATACATTTTGATGTTTACTTTACTTCATTTTTTGTTTGTTTGTTTGTTTTTTGTTTTTGTTTTTTAAAGATGACCAGTAAGGGGATCTTAACCCTTGACTTGGTGTTTTCAGCACCACGCTCTCCCAAGTGAGCTAACCGGCCATCCCTATACAGGGATCCGAACCCGCAGCTTGGTATTATGAGCACCACACTCTCCCAAGTGAGCCACAGGCCGGCTCTACTTCATTTGTTTTAAATGTTGTGTGCAACCTACAAAACTTTTGAACAATAGATTAATGATTATTCATGAAATTGACTCTCATCCAGTAATTGAAAATGGTACAGAATTTTTATTATTGACATAAAAATATCTCAACATATATTATTAAGATAAAAGCAGGTGTTGAGAGAATATACATAATAGTATTCTATTTGTTTAAAAATAAAGTGTGAAGAGATACATATATCAAAAGTTAACATTTTCTTCCTTCGTAGTACTTTGCTGCATTGTCTGAATGTTTACAATCTGTGCATATTACAAAGCTACGTGGCTAACATTTACTGAGCACTTACTACGTGTGCCCAGTCCTGCACTCAATGCTCTACATGTAATACTATTTTATCCAATCCTCTCCACAACTTGTGATGGTATAAGCAACTCATTTTACAGAGACCAAAATGAGTCTCAGAGACTCAAAGTAAACTGACTGAGCTTACAGGTAATAACAGGCAGAGCTGGAACTCAAACCCATGTGTGTCTCACAACAAAGTTCATGCTCTCAACAGTAGGCTAGGCTGCCTCATAGAGAGCAGAAGAGATGGTGCATACCAGTGAGGGTGGGCTGGATATTACATAGGTAGCAATCAGCCTCAAACAGTGAAGGTTTATAGAAATGAGGTTTCTTTCTTGTTCATGCTACATGTCCACCGTGTCTCTCCTGGAACCTCAGCTCCCCATTTCCTCACCAGGCTCAATGCCTTTGCTCTACAATTCTCCTTAATCCCCAGTCTGAGATACACTGAGGCCACATTCTCTTTTCTGGCCCCAGCACCCTGGAGTAGCCCTGAGCATCCATTCAATAGCCAGGACACAGAGGTCCAGAGAGGACAGTAGGCATGGCTCCAGGCACCTAGGCTCTGCCCAGGCCCTGCAGAAGGGTGAGACCCTGGGAGAGCCTCTTGGGGCTGGGGTGCATCTAGGGTGGTCATCCCTGGCTTGGTGACTATACTTACCTGCCAGACCATCCCCTATCTACCCCATTGCAATGGTCCCTCTGCCTTTGTGTCCCCCAATAATGCTGCTGCTCCTCCTGTGTCCCAGCCTAAACCTGTCATGGGTGAGTGAGGGACCCAGCCTCTGGAGAATCAGCAGTCCCGCAGGACTCCCCTAGCTCTGCCCAGGGACCTCAGAGCCCTCTCCATCCTCCTGTCCCCCAAGCTCTCCCCATGGGTGCCCCACACACTCATACCTTCCCAGGGACCCAGGAGCTCTGTCCTCCAGCCCTCCCTAGAAATCTCCAATCACTCCCTTCCCAGGGCCCAGGACTGACCCCAGCCCAGAGTCCTCCCCAGACACCCCCCATCTCTCAGTATAACCCCTGAACCTGAAGCCTTCCCCACCACCCTGGTCTGGGGTCCTGTGAATTGAGCATCACTCCACATCCTTGGGGGCTGAGGCAGGACAACCAGGGGGCCACCAGAGGCTGGGAGGAGCAGGGGCAGAAGGGGCCCAGCCTGAGAATAGAAGTACATAGTGTCTCCTTCTCACCCACCCCTAGGGGTCACCAATGGAGAGGTCCCATCAGTATCTGCCTGATGCTGGGGTGCACAGACATATGTGCTCACAGGGAAATATACAGACACTACAAGCACAGAGACACACAAGCAGACCAGCCCCGACCTCACCAGGGCATTCAGGTGTACAGCTCATGGACAGGCTCACACACAGACCCACACTGCAGATACACACAACGACACCCCCAGCAGAAGAACACACACACGCAGAGACACAGACCCAGCGCCACGTGATACAGGGCACTATGGTAAATTCATAATGTCCACAACCCTTTTATTTATTTATTTTTTTGAAAATGACCGGTAACAGGATCTTAACCCTTGACTTGTTGTCAGCACCACGCTCTCCCAAGTGAGCCATGGGCTGGCCCTATAATGTCCACAACCCTTAAGAATGACATTCATGTAGTTCACTGAGGCTTGCAGCAGAGAAAAGACAAGCTAAGTTATATGCAAATAAAGATGAGTAAGAGCGGGCCGGCCCGGTGGCGCACTGGATAGTGCGCCGCTTGGGAAGCGCGGCGGCACTCCCACCCGAGGGTTCGGATCCCACATACAGACCGGTTCCCGCTCACTGGCTGAGCAAGGCGCGGGAGCAACGCCGAGGGTTGCAATCCCGTTGCCGGTCCCCGGTCCGGTACGGGGGCAACACTGAGGGTTGCGATCCGTTGCTAGACACGGAAAAAGACAAAAAAAAAAAAAAAGATGAGTAAGAGCTATTCTATCCCTCTTACACTAAAAGTAAGTGCAACAAAATTACAAGGATAACATTTAAACCCCATTTTTTTTTTTTTGTCTTTTGTCTTTTTCCGTGTCCTGGCAACGGATCGCAACCCTCAGTGTTGCCCCCGTACCGCGCTCAACCAGTGAGCCGACCGGCCTCTATATGGGATCCGCACC